ATTCTTTACAGCATTAGTATCAACTGGAAGAAATCGAACGACGCTTGCACTGAAAGTCAAGCAATTGGATCTTTGGATAAACAACACCGCAGAAAATATTTACCGCCGATGAGACAGACACAAAGCCCGTATCATGCAATTTACTAAAATGGCGTATCGTTTATCTTAATTGCGATTACGCAACAGGATGTCAATTTCGAGGAGTGCTCAGAATTGAGTGCGAGAAATGACGCCAGACAGGAGATTGTCTTTTCTGCTGTTATGGTTTATTTTTGTGCCCAATCATTTTGTCGTATTTGTGAAGAGCGTTTTGTAGTTATATTGTTTTAGAAGATCTAATTTTATTACGTTTGAGTTTTTAATGTTTTAAACAGTTTCTATCGTTATAGTTACATATTTATTAAACTTAGCTTGGTTGGGCACAAGGCCAAACGAGTGATAGAAAAATGGTCTATCATCTAAATGGCGAATCCCTACTAGCTTCGAAAAATCAACATTCGATTTTGCTGATTTTCCGTGGATTCGAACACTAACCATTTCCTTCTACATGCTGTGCCCTTTCAGAACATTGGCTCTCCACAATTTCCTGTCTTTTGTAAGAAATTATCTTTTAATCTCTCCTAAGATTTGTTCCGCCATCCATTTGCTCAAGATCTCTCACTAGGTTACGTGTTCTTTTCCTTTGTTCCTCTTGCATCAAAATTTCCAAGTCCTCTTTCCTCATTATGTGTTCTTGAAATTTCAAAATGGTCAATAATGGAAAACAACAGCGTACGTAAACGGTTACTAAGCTTGGCTTAGTTTAGCACAAAGCTAAATAAGAAGTTATAGCAAGAAGATTGTGTTGCGCCAATTTTCCAAGTGGAGAGAGCATTTATAATCAGCATTTGGATCCTGATTTTTATCTAAACACTGACGTTAGTAATGAAATCTACAACACTCTCAGTCACTAAACAGGACAGAACTTTATGTTGTATTAGTTTTCTTAGTTACTTCTATGGTTATGCTGGTGAACTGATTGTTTGGTTTTACCGGTGTCAACTTTTGTTGAGTTACTTAATGTCGGATATGGTATGGAATACCTAACGAGGATCTTACGACTCATTTGTAATGTTCAACCAGACTAGCCTCAAAAGCATGACGAAACGCCGAGTCACCGATCTATTTTCATGTTTTTTCCCCTTCAGAAAGAAGGGCGACAATGACACTCCACAGATTCATCATCGTTATTATCATCATCATTATTATCATCATTATTATTATCACTATTATTATTATCATTATCATCATCACTATTATTATTATTACCATTATTATTATTATTATTATTATCATTATCATCATTATTATTATTTACGAGTTGCCATGCATTCTTGGGAAAGAAAGAGAAATTGCCTTCCTTTTCCAAAACTGGTTGTCACTCAAATCTAAAGAGCTCGGTCTACCTTGCTATTTAATCCATAACTGGGTTATGGGGATTTTCTCAGCGTAGCTTATATGTGGCACAAGGTCGAAAGTATGTGGCACCAAGTGAGGATCGAACTCACTACTTAGTCGTAGCTGTTCTAGCGAAACAAGCTTACTAACCATTACACTATATCAAGGTGACCCCATAGCTAGGTTATGATTATAGTACCATTCTATAAAACAGACATGTAAAAAAAACGCGGAATACAATTAAAAATGCATAATATAAGGACAAAATGGGAAAAAATCCTTTATAACATGTTTCGTCCTTCAAACGGACGTCTTCATTTTCTGAAGGGCAAAACGCGTTACATAGGATTTTTTCCATGTTGTCATTCAATTACTCACCTTTTGTCTCATATATAGAGAATTTATATATAATTCTATTGCATAATTAAAAATGTAATTAAACATACGTTTTTGTGTGTGAAGAATTGTTTTACAGAACTATCAGGAAGTTTTTAATAAAACTTTTATTTAAAAAGAAATGGAGGAGAGAGAGGGTGAGAAAGAGGTAGTTGCCATTGATAGAAGTAGGTATTTATAGATAGATTTATTTGAACCCTACACTCTAACTATATTTTTTATTAATCATTTCACTTTAAGCAAGGCAGTAAGGCCACTAAGATTCAAGAGGTTACTGACTGGGAGAGAATATGAGAAAAAGAAATTATTATTAAAGAGAGGGAACAATAAAAGAACATGAATTAAAAAGACAAAAGATAGCGATTGACACTGCCTTTAATTTTTTGAAGATCAAAGTTGACTGGAAAACAAGAAGCAGGAAGAGAGTTCCATGAGCGAGAAGTGCGAGAGAGGAAATTGTTAGGAAAAAACTTACGGTTACATCTAGCTATTTCAATTGTAAAATGATGAGACCTAACTGCCGCTCTAGTACTGCGTTTAAGTTCATAAAATCTAGGTACCATATGGAAAAGTTCATCAGAACAATTAGCATGAAAATATTTATAGAAAAAGAACAATGAAGCTACGTTACGGCGATGGGAAAGTGACTGAAGCCGAGATGCTAGATCAGGATCGATAACATGGCAGATTCTTCTTTGTATTTTATCAAGAATCTCTAGGTACATACCAGAAGTCGTAGACTAGATGTGACAGCAATATTCAATGCATAAATGAATGGTAGACTTATAAATTTGTAAGATAGATTCTATCGAGAAAATTTGTCTAGTTCGTGGCAGCAGACCTAGCAATGGATTTAATATAATCTTTCTAGGCGGAAAACGTTAGCCAGAGAAGTTGCAAGAGATCAGTTTCCTAGAGGTTAGCATCAGTCATGCTGACGGAAGTCAAAAAAATGTTCTCTCAGACGAATAAATGTGTTACAAGGGCGTATATAGGTACTAATAATCTTGGTCATTAAGTTTAAAACAAAGAATAAAAGATAACGTTATGAACATACTTGTACAAATGTTATTATTAATTCTTCTTCTTATAGTTGGCCACTCGTATCGGAGGATACCTGTCTACTAGGGTGTCAATCCCTGTTGCTCAGGCACATTTGTGTTTGTTCAACACCCACAGAGCTAACCTGTAGTTTATACTGCAACTATACTGAGCGGACCTTAGTTACAGTTTATGGAAGTTTATCATCTGGCGTGCTCAACAGTCTGGACAAGACCTGTATGCTCAAACTCTCGGTCACGATGACTTTTTACTTCGTGCTAACTAAACCTTCGACGGTTCTCAAATAGTTCCGTCTACCCAATTTCACTCACAATATTTGGTTCAACTCATGGTATGGCTTTTCAAACACTGCAAAGGTGCCGCATATATTTACGTTGGGAAAAAATAATTTTAAGACCGATAGCATTATCATCTTCCTGACGAATCGACCTGAAATCTGTCTGCATGGTCTGAAAGCAAACGTTATAACCACTCGGTCACATGCCTATCTGATTATTACTTAGTACATAGCAGAAACACCAGACCAGACGTGACAGCAATATTCAATGCATGGACGAATGGTAGACTTATAAATATGTAAGATAGATTCTACTGATAAAATTTGTCTCGCACGACACAGTGAACCAATCTTCCTAGCAGTCGACCTATCTATAGGAAACTGATTCTGTAGAATAATGATTTTGATCCTTTTCGCACGATTATGTCCTTATGCCAGACTAAGCTTTATTAAATATCTACTTAGGCTTCTTTCATAGAACGACAACAAGGAAACTAATCTGGCATTATGACCCTATGTCACACTAAGCCAAAATCATACAGAGCGAAAGAGAGAAAAGTAGAACATTAACATTTATTTAAAAGGGAAAATAAAGGCATGAAAAGTGGGGGTTGCATTCAATTTATTATCTTCTGGACAAGGTCTTCATTGTTTTGGACTTGTTGGTTTCTCACTGACATTTTGGCTGTGAGCCACTCGGGCTAAATGGTCGTCAAATTGTCCTAATAGATTGATAGCCTCCGGTAGATGATAGATATCCATTGCATGGTTGAAATGGGAGGGGGTCCTCACTGACAGCACCTGATGCTCAAAGAGGCACTGACTCGTTGTTTATTGACAGGTGAAGTTCAGCACGCACCGCGCCCTCTTCCTTTCACCACCTCCACACATACACACAAAGTGTTTAAGAGACTTCAAAGTGACGCCTCTGGTTCACTTTAATAGGTGGAGCTTACAATCAAATAGTTTAATCACACTACAATAGAAGATAAAACAGTAAAGGTTCATAAATAAATAAAAGTTTAAATAGACGAAATTCAATGAGATGACAGTGATCTGATGTCGGTTTATAAATGGGTCTGGCTTAACTATGCACTCAATAAAAAAAATCCTGACAGTGAAAAGGGCGTACATATATATATGAAAGGGAAAAATCTTCGAGTCAGTGATGTAGGCGGGGTTTATAATTTGAATAAAAGGCATGGCGAATGTTTCCGAATCATTGATTGGTTCGTTCCATTACCGAAAGAGATTGTTAAGCAACCATACTGATTTGGTCTGTTAGGATTTATCACATTTTCAGTCGGCATGTGGAACAGACAGTACTAAATAGCAGTTATTTGACTATTTACTATTTGGGACATTAGACCACGCTCAAAATGACTAGCATTGGAATATAGCGCAGGTAATGTTGATTTAACGCCGTTTTCGTGACCTTGTACACTAAATCGGCTCATCAGTAAAATGAAATAATAATTGCGCTTTGGAAATACAGTTAGCTGTCTCCCACGAGCAACCAAAAATAATTTCAAATGAAAAGAGGATATTATGCGCTAGGAACTGTTTTGTGGTGTCGTGAGGTATGGAACCTTTTTCATTCTTATCCATGGGTATCTGCGTGTAAGTGAATATACCAAAACCGACTGCAATTGAAACTCAGCTCTCTGATTAACAATTTCGAGCCGTTATCCATTACATCATCCACACATTCAAGCTTACAGCACCTGGTGTTTCCAAGCGGTCACCCATCTAGATACTAACCTGGATTGACATTGCTTAACATCGGTGATCGTTCGGGAACCGGTGTTTCAACGTGATATGGCAGTAATCACTTTGACATGGTGCAATTGTTAACAGGCTAGTCTCGCAAGACCAATTATGACAGAGTAATGAGTTCGATCCTCACTAGGGGCTTCATATTCAGCCTTGTGACACAACCAAGCTAAACTTAGTAAATCGAGATTATATATATATATATATATAAAATAGATATATTGTCATCCACAGACAGACTGTTTCGCTGTATCACAGCTCTTCAGTGTGGCTAGACGTCCGGTTGCCTCTAGCTTTGCTAGGTTACAGCTGCCAAGAAAGTCAGTTCACTGTGTCGCGCGAGACAATTTTTCTCTAGAATTTACCTTACATATATATGTCTACAATTCGTTCATTCTTAGAATATTGCTGCCAAATATGGTCCGGTGCCCCTACTATTTGCCTAGAGCTCCTTGATAAGATCCAAAGAAGAATCAGTAATATTATTGGTCCTGATCTGGCTACTCGGCTTCATTCATTTTCCCCACCTCTGAAATCTTGGCTTCTGTGCATTTTCTATAAATACTTTCATGGTAATTGTTCAAATAAGCTTTTTTGTTAAGGTACCCTAGGTATTATAAATTTAAACGCAGGACTAGACTGGCATTGTGATCTCATCAGTTGAGCTGGCTAGATAGAGCCGTAAGTTCTATGCTAACAATTTCTTTTCTTGCACATTTCGCTTGAGGAACTCCTTTCCGGTACTATGCTTTCCAATCAACTTTAATTTGAAAAAAATTAAATGCAATATCAATCGCTATCTACTCTCCCACATGATGACTTTTTTCTCTTCCCGCTCATTATTAATGTTTCTGTTCCTAATGCTTCCACACCCTTGTAACCCTTTCTGTTTTAGTGCATTTACTGCTTTTCATGGAGGTGATACCGATTAAAAATCTCTCTCAATATATATATATATATATATATATATATATAATAAAGAGAGAGAGAGACTGTTCTTCTGAACATGTATAGGGACATCTCGTCTAATTTAATACTGCACAGTTATAGCTCCCTTTCTTTCCACGATTCAAGATACGCGACAAGTTAATTGTGAATTGAATCCTTGGGATGGGTTTGGTTGGGCTAACTTTCTTTACTAACAGCTGGGCTTGGCTGGGAAAAATATAGGTCCTTGGTCCTTGTAAAACGAATCAAACAAAGACTGAACAGTACAAAATAAAAAAAAGACGAGATATGGTTAGAGGTACGAGAACAATCAACCCACGTAGATTATCTAAGGGTTCAGTTCAAAATTTCCCTAAAGGGTTACCAGGATCAACAATCATTTGATGAAGGCTTGGTGTGCACAACGGTCGAAACGATAACCGATGATAGCAACAACGATGAGGAGACTAAATAAAAAAAAATATAGTAATTAATGTAAATTTTCTTTCACAGTGAAAATTGAGATGACACATTCCTCTCTCAAAACCACACCATATGTTGTCTTCTATTAAACTAAACGCGTCTTAATAAATAAATTGCCCCTCTCTCTTTTAAAAAAATGTGTGTATATGTGTATGATTATATAGAAATGTGATTCTTAAGCATAAATATATAACGAGGAACAATATATAATTAGTCAGCTTTCAATTCAATTTTTTGGTTATGAACGTGGTTCATTGAATGGAGAAATTTATTCACTTATAATCTGTATTGAAGTTTCGGATTTATGTAAAGATTTAGCAATGCGGTGGGTGGACGTCGTCGACAAAGAAAAGGAAAAAAGACCTACCGCAGACGGACACAATTAGAGCACGCCCCCGAATCACTGACGTATCGTTCAAATTGCAGATAATCATGATACTTTAATAATGTTCAGTCATAACACTGATCAAGTTCATTTCGTTCCAACAGAAAAGGATAAAGATTTTTTAATTATTTTGTTTATTTATTTTTTCAAAGACATTGGTTATTTGAATATTCCCAGGATGAACCGATGGATTCGGTTTTAAGGACATCTGTATTTCCCAGTAGTAAATGTATTCTTTTTTCTAGTAAATCATATTTTATTGTACGAGGACAAAAAATATCACATGGTCAAAATTACAGGTCATTAAGAATAAAAATAAGACGGTTAACCCATTCCTCGCCAATTATTTTGGGATAAAAGTTTCATTTTCAGATTAATTTTTTTAAATTTCTTTTTAATATTTAAAAAACTTGAGCTACCTTGAAGTACCCAAGCGGTGGCTAACACAGACGTATGAGTTGAATTTCAAGCTCAGAAGGACATAAAAGAATCAAAATCGATGTATAAATACGCCTGTAGCTTGTTTTTTAACGTTATGTTTTGGACGTGTTTATTCGTCTGTGTCTTAAAAAGACACTTTTTAGTAAAAAAAATATATACACGTATACGCCGGGGAATGGGTTAATTCGGTTGTTGTTAACCTTAATATTTTATATATATATATATATATATTTAAGAAAAGGGTAAAATGCCAACCAACCTCATTTAAAAACCGTAAGGTCTCCTCAGGCAAGTGGAAGGATGTAGACATTTTAGAAAACTATCTAATATGCCAAAACAAAAAAAGAGAATTTACAATCATGATTCGTCTTTTAGGTTGAAGAGCCATAGAAGTGACAGCAAGTTTTCCGATTGTGTCTGGAAAAACGGAGAGAGGTTTAATAGAAGTCCTTGTGTAAATGTTTTTTTTGAACTGGCATAATTCGTGGTAATTGTTACCGGCTGTGCCAGGAGGGAAGAGATATTGGTCATTGCCACATATCCTGATAAAGGCGTCTTACTAAATGAGAGAACTGAGATTATGTCAGAGTGCAGGCATTTAAGGAATATTTTTAGGTAAATATGAACCCGGATGAGCTAAATAAAATATTTTTTTTTGTCCTTTTTACCTAACAGTTTTTTCCCTTTTTTTCAATTACAATTTTTTTTTCCTATCTCTCGCCTCCTACTTTCTCATACATTTACCCTCTAAATACTTCCAATGTTCTGGTACATTGGAGTAGTTTTCATTGATTTGTACATCCTTCCACTTGCCTGAGGAGATTTACGGTCGAAACCCAAATGCGAGGTTTTTTGGCATTTTAGCCTTTTCTAGCTCAACATATTTTGTATTGAGCAGAACAATTGTTGTCTATTAAATTTTAGGCGCTGCTGTTTGCATGCCTTTCTTTTAATTTCTATCCGTATATATATATATATATGAATGCCAATGAACACACACACATACACACTCACACACATATATATATATATATATATATATATATATGATACACACACACACACACACACACATATATATATATATATATATATATATATATATATATAAATATCGACAAATAAATTTGTAAAAAAGCAAGGAATGGATTTCTGTTTGATAATTTGACATATTTTTATTGGTTAAACGTTATTTTTAAAATAGTATTTGGTCAAAAACAGAAACTTTTCAGCACACATTAAGAGTCTCTATGTTTCTTTATCTGAATCTTTAGAATATATATATATATATATGTGTGTGTGTGTGATGTGTGTGTGTGTGTGTGTGTATGTATGTGTGTGTGTGCGTGCGTGTGTGAGTGTTTTTGTTTTGTAAAAAATTTGGTGTATCCCTTATTTCATTTTGTCATAAGTAACTGGACTTCTCCGCTATTTTAACATTTAGGTTATAAATATTGAAATATTACAACGGTTACTTTTCACTTTCTGCTTGAAGATTATCACGTAAACATAAAACTCGAATTGGAGCTATATATATTGATTGTTAGTATATATATATATATATATATATATATATATATATATATATATATAGAGAGAGAGAGAGAGAAAAGAGAGAGAGGAATGGGAGAATGGAGAGAAATAAGAGAACATTTTTCATTTAAAAATTGCAAGGGCTGCATGAAACTCTGAGTCATGTTATCGACATATATATTATATTTATAGCTTTGTTTCATAAGATTGGGCAAACATATTTTATAACATTCAAGAACTATATTTATACATACGTGCAAGTATATGTACGTGCATTTAGATTTTTTATCCTACCCTTTCTGATATATATATATATATATATATATATATATATATATATATATGTGTGTGTGTGTGTGTGTGTGTGTGTGTGTGTGTATTGACAATGTGGAACTAGAGATCCGATTGCCTCAAGCCAGGATCGAAACCTAACAGATTTGGCATCAAATGTCGGAGATTTTTTTTTCCTTGACCTATCAGCTCCCGGCAGAGAGGACATATAAACATATGTCAATCAAATCCTTCATTTTTTTGATTTATTATATTTAAAGTTTATACTAGACACTGTTAAATGTACAATCCAAGATACAATCCAAAAATACTTTTACAAAATTTAGGGGGCGGTTTCCTGGGGGCAAGGTTTCCTGAAACAAAAACAAGGTAAAATATCCATATAAACATATTTAAAATGTCCTGTCGGATCATTGACTGGTCGGATCATTGACTGGCGGACTCTTTCAAATACTCCCACACGGTGTCGAATGGTTTCGCAGGCCCCCATGACACATTGATGAAGCGTCTCTGCATTATTAATGTCTGCTGCATAAACCAATTGTTTTAGGTGGCCCCACAGATAAAAAAAATCCAAAGGATTGAGGTCGGGGGAACGTGCAGGCCATGGAACCGGTCCTCCCCTACCTATCCATCTTTCATGGTAGATGTCAGCCAGTGCATCGCGAACAATGTGACTAAAATGTGCTGGAGCCCCATCATGCATGAACCACATGCGTCTTCGTATTAGCAGGGGTACATCCTCTAGCAGGTCTGGAAGTGTGTTCGAAATAAAGTCCCTGTAGACAGCTCCTGTAAGACGTGCTGGGAGAACATATGAACCTACCAGACAGTCACCTACAATTCCAGCCCACACATTAATCGTAAACTGATGCTGGTGTCTAGCCTGTATTGTACCATGGGGATTCCGATCCGCCCACAAATGTTGGTTGTGTAAATTTGTTATTCCATCTCTTCCAAATGTTGCCTCATCCGTAAACAAGACTGAAGAG